CACATACTGGGTCACAAAACAGCCCTTCATAAGTACACAAGAATTGAGATCATACCATGCATACTTTCAGACCAAAATGCTATGAAGCCTGAAATCAACCACAGGAAAAAGTCTGGAAAACCTCCAAAAGCATGGAGGTTAAAGAACACCCTACTAAAGAATGAATGGGTCAGTCAGGCAATTAGAGAAGAAATTAAAAAATATATGGAAACAAACGAAAATGAAAATACAACAATCCAAACGCTTTGGGATGCAGCGAATGCAGTCCTGAGAGGAAAATACATTGCAATCCAGGCCTATCTCAAGAAACAAGAAAAATCCCAAATACAAAACTAACAGCACACCTAAAGGAAAGAGAAGCAGAGCAGCAAAGACACCCCAAGCCCAGCAGAAGAAGAAAAATAATAAAGATCAGAGCAGAAATAAACAATATAGAATCTAAAAAAACTGTAGAGCAGATCAACGAAACCAAGAGTTGGTTTTTTGAAAAAATAAACGAAATTGACAAACCTCTAGCCAGGCTTCTCAAAAAGAAAAGGGAGATGACCCAAATAGATAAAATCATGAATGAAAATGGAATTATTACAACCAATCCCTCAGAGATACAAACAATTATCAGGGAATACTATGAAAAATTATATGCCAACAAACTGGACAACCTGGAAGAAATGGACAAATTCCTAAACACCCACACGCTTCCAAAACTCAACCAGGAGGAAATAGAAAGCTTGAACAGACCCATAACCAGCGAAGAAATTGAATCAGTCATCAAAAATCTCCCAACAAATAAGAGTCCAGGACCAGATGGCTTCCCAGGGGAGTTCTACCAGACGTTTAAAGCAGAGATAATACCTATCCTTCTCAAGCTATTCCAAAAAATAGAAAGGGAAGGAAAACTTCGAGACTCATTCTATGAAGCCAGTATTACTTTGATTCCTAAACCAGACAGAGACCCAGTAAAAAAAGAGAACTACCAGCCAATATCCCTGATGAATATGGATGCAAAAATTCTCAATAAGATACCAGCAAATCGAATTCAACAGCATACAAAAAGAATTATTCACCATGATCAAGTGGGATTCATTCCTGGGATGCAGGGCCGGTTCAACATTTGCAAATCAGTGTGATACATCACATTAATAAAAGAAAGGATAAGAACCATATGATCCTGTCAATCGATGCACAAAAGGCCTTTGACAAAATTCAGCAACCTTTCTTAATGAAAACCCTCGAGAAAGTCAGGACAGAAGGAACATACTTAAAGATCATAAAAGCCATTTATGAAAAGCCCACAGCTAACATCATCCTCAATGGGGAAAAACTGAGAGCTTTTTCCCTGAGATCAGGAACACGACAGGGATGTCCACTCTCACCGCTGTTGTTTAACATATATGTTGGAAGTTCTAGCATCAGCAATCAGACAACAAAAGGAAATCAAAGACATCAAAATTGGCAAAGATGAAGTCAAGCTTTCAATTTTTGCAGATGACATGATATTATACATGGAAAATCCGATAGACTCCACCAAAAGTCTGCTAGAACTGATACATGAATTCAGCAAAGTTGCAGGATACAAAATCAATGTACAGAAATCAGTTGCATTCTTATACACTAATAATGAAGCAACAGAAAGACAAATAAAGAAACTGATCCCATTCACAATTGCACCAAGAAGCATAAAATACCTAGGAATAAATCTAACCAAAGATGTAAAAGATCTGTATGCTGAAAACTATAGAAAGCTTATGAAGGAAATTGAAGAAGATATAAAGAAATGGAAAAACATTCCATGCTCATGGAATTCCATGCTCATTGGAAAAATAAATATTGTTAAAATGTCAATACCACCCAAAGCTATGTACACATTCAATGCAATCCCAGTCAAAATTGCACCAGCATTCTTCTCGAAGCTAGAACAAGCAATCCTAAAATTCATATGGAACCACAAAAGGCCCCGAATAGCCAAAGTAATTTTGAAGAAGAAGACCAAAGCAGGAGGCATCACAATCCCAGACTTTAGCCTCTACTACAAAGCTGTCATCACCAAGACAGCATGGTATTGGCACAAAAACAGACACATAGACCAATGGAATAGAATAGAAACCCCAGAATTAGATCCACAAACGTATGGCCAACTAATCTTTGACAAAGCAGGAAAGAATATCCAATGGAAAAAAGACAGTCTCTTTAACAAATGGTGCTGGGAGAACTGGACAGCAACATGCAGAAGAATGAAGCTTTCTTACACCATTCACAAAAATAAACTCAAAATGGATAAAGGACCTGAATGTGAGACAGGAAACCATCAAAACACTAGAGGAGAAAGCAGGAAAAAACCTCTCTGACCTTAGCCGCAGCAATTCCTTACCTGACACATCCCCAAAGGCAAGGGAATTAAAAGCAAAAATTAACTATTGGGACCTCATGAAGATAAAATGCTTCTGCACAGCAAAGGAAAAAATCAACAAAACTAAAAGGCAAACAACGGAATGGGAAAAGATATTTGCAAATTGACATATCGGACAAAAGGCTAGTATCCAAAATCTATAAAGAGCTCACCAAACTCCACACCCGAAAAACAAATAATCCAGTGAAGAAATGGGCAGAAAACATGAATAGACACTTCTCTAAAGAAGACATCCAGATGGCCAACAGGCACATGAAAAGATGCTCAACGTCGCTCTTCATCAGGGAAATACAATTCAAAACCACACTCAGATATCACCTCACGCCAGTCAGAGTGGCCAAAATGAACAAATCAGAAGACTATAGATGCTGGCGAGGATGTGGAGAAACAGGAACCCTCTTGCACTGTTGGTGGGAATGCAAATCGGTGCAGCCGCTCTGGAAAACAGTGTGGAGGTTCCTCAAAAAATTAAAAATAGACCTACCCTATGACCCAGCAATAGCACTGCTAGGAATTTACCCAAGGGATACAGGAGTACTGATGCATAGGAGCACTTGTACCCCAATGTTTATAGCAGCACTCTCAACAGTAGCCAAATTGTGGAAAGAGCCTAAATGTCCATCAACTGATGAATGGATAAAGAAATTGTGGTTTATATACATAATGGAGTACTACGTGGCAATGAGAAAGAATGAAATATGGCCTTTTGTAGCAATGTGGATGGAACTGGAGAGTGTGATGATAAGTGAAATAAGCCATACAGAGAAAGACAGATACCATATGTGTTCACTTTTATGTGGATCCTGAGAAACTTAACAGAAACCCATGGGGGAGAGGAAGGGAAAAAAAAAAAAAAAAAGAGGTTAGAGTGGGAGAGAACCCAAACATAAGAGACTCTTAAAAACTGAGAACAAACTGAGGGTTGATGGGGGGTGGGAGGGAGGGGAGGTGATGGGCAATGAAGAGGGCATCTTTTGGGATGAGCACTGGGTGTTTTATGGAAACCAATTTGACAATAAATTTCATATATTAGGGAAAAAAATAGGGTGCAAACAAGAAAAAACTAATTCATACTCACGTGGACCCTGATTTTCTTCCATTTTTACCCTGCATTCCTACATGACTGGTATTTAAAAAAAAAAAAAATACTGCCTACTGGACTTGAAGGAATGGCTTGCAGTACCATACTCTTAGACAAAAGGGACAACGCTCAGGCCACCATGTGTTCTTCCCTTACCCAACTTGAGAGGTGTTTTTGACCTTGAAAACATTAGGGGCGAAGTGAGAAGATTTTCCCTTCCTAATACCTCAGCCTGAATAATTTGAAACCGTTTCCTAAGAATCCTTGGAAAGCAGAGGGGTTTTGGGTATAGTCTTCTTATAAAAAATTTTCCTCTTAATTTGATGTTTCAGATTAGACAATCTATCATTCTACAGCATTGTTAATTTTTACATGAAGAAATATCAAAGATTAAATAATGTCTAGACACATTCACACACAGGTTGTAGCATTTTAAAATTGGTATAATTCATTTAGAAGGCAGCAACACATACTATGGTCAAAATGGTGTTAAAAATAAAGAAATAATTTATTAGAAACAAAAGGCTCTATACATAGAGAGCTTTACCACAGCTTTAGATGTGTTAAGTAGAACACTGGGGAACAGAAACTGAAGGGTTTGGTCAATTATGATACAGAACCATAAGAAAACTCTGCACCCACTTAAAAACAGCTATAAAAATGAGGTAGAAACATGGGTACAAATGGTTTATGATATAAAGTGAATGCCAGAACACAAAAATTATATAAATACACACACACACACACACACACACACACACGTATAATCATTTTATACTAGGTCATCTTTTAAAGTACATCATCTTTTTTTTTTTTTTTAATTTTTTTTTCAACGTTTTTTATTTATTTTTGGGACAGAGAGAGACAGAGCGTGAACGGGGGAGGGGCAGAGAGAGAGGGAGACACTGAATCGGAAACAAGCTCCAGGCTCTGAGCCATCAGCCCAGAGCCCGACGCGGGGCTCGAACCCACGGACCGCGAGATCGTGACCTGGCTGAAGTCGGACGCTTAACCGACTGCGCCACCCAGGCGCCCCTAAAGTACATCATCTTTTAAAAATATCTTTTAAAAAATTACTCACCTCCAAACCTCTCTTTTTTAAAGCTTTCCCATCCATTACTTGCTCAATTACATTTTTCTTGTTTTTCTCTCCTATACACTGTCTTTCTGGTCATTTCTATTTTCTAGTATAGTCATCTTTACCTTCTTCACTCCCTGTCTTGACAAAAACATCACTGTCTATCATGCCCTTTTCTGACTCCAGAAAAAATATCTATCTAAAGGGTACAGAGTAAGAAACAAGGCCACCCTACGGTCACTGCAATGATCTCCCACATACTGCCTTGCTTGCTATCACTGTGGAAGTTACAAAGCAGTAAAAGAGCCTGAAGTGGAAGACTGAACTGCCTCATGCCTCAAAGTTACTTTCTAATTGTTTGTGTCTTTCTGTCTGAGCATGCACAGGTATGGAAAATAGAAATTTACAATAATTCGGTACTACAGGTTTCTTACCTATTGAATGAGTCCGATTCTGATGAAGAAAGAGTTTCTTCTTGAATATCAGTACAACTGGAAGAATCATCTGGTCTGTCAGGCTCCATTCTCCCTGGGGATTCCAGCTTTGTTTGAGGGAAGTGGTCTGTTATGGGAAGAGTGTCTGAGAATTTCATCTTTTTATCTTCCTGTTCTATAAAGGTAAAAGAAAGAAAAAGACACATTTAAGAGTACCATAAAATCTACAACCTCTGTATGTTTATTATTTCTACATTTAGCAGTACAATTTATACTCAGTAAAATGGAAGCTTAGATAACAATGAATCCAAAACCCCAGGGACAGAGAATAAGAATCAACACTCCTATGAGCTATCTAATTACAATGCCCACTCCATGCACTTCCAGATTAATTAATTTGAAAACAAAATTTCCTTTTAAAATCAGGAGTAGTGAACTGTGTAATTCTAATGAGGCTTCTACTTACAGTATTACTAGAGAATTCCTGCATATTTCATAGATCAGAGAACACCAACAAACATATGAAGCACAATAAAAAAGCATTAAAGATTCGATATTTATCACTGACTACTATGTGGTAGTGAATCCATCTGGACATTTCTCTTAGTCTGTTAAATAGAATCTAGTAATTTACTATGGAAAAGGAAAACTAATCAGACATAACCAATATTTCCATTCGATCCAACACATCCCTTGTTAGAGCCTCAATTTCTGAGGTCTCCTCTCGCAAATAAAAATAAGGGAAGCTGGAGGCCTGCAGACAGTGCTGGCAAGAATGTGACATAACAGGTGTGACCAAATATCTCCAAAGACGAGTACAGAAATAGTATCCATGAAGGATTCCTCAGCGCCCAGGACTCTCCCTCACGATCTGTTTCAGGACTCTGCTAGTATTTCAGTGACACTGTCTTTAGGCTTCAGGAACTCAGTCAGTACTTAACAGCCAAGCCACATGTGCTAATAGAATAGCGCCCCTTTCATGAGTTTCCTCCCAGAGAAGCAGAGCTCTCACACATCACCCACCCAGTGTGTTTGCAGAGGCAAGTGACTCTCGACAAAAGACACCAAAAAGAATTGTCAAGGTTTTATTACAAATAGAAAATTTATACTAAAGAATAAGACAGATTCTTTAAAAACAAAAAAACCTTTGTAAGTCTGTACAGTCAAGATATTTCCAAGATTTTCCCAGAAATAATAAGTTTTTCTTATACTAAAGAACAGCATACATCACAAAAGTATAATTTCTTAAAAAAAAAAAAAAAGCTCTTGATGTTGTCTGGCTTTCAATAAGCAAAATCATTACCAAAACAAAACTGTACCCTCTAATGTTTATCTGGGTAAAGGAAAGAAGCTAACCACAACAACCATCCAGGTGCTCTAAGATCTCTTCTTGTAAACAGGCACCCAAGACCACATTAAGAAGAATCAATCACCCAGTAAACTCAGGAAACCCAGGCATCCAGTACTCAACTGGCCAGGAAAATGCAATCAAGCTGACAAACTAGGGAGCGGGAGCTGAACTTAAAACTATCTTTTATTTTTGCACCTGATTTATAATCACCTTATATACTTCTTCCCATCTTATAGAAGCTTCTCCAAGATAAATTCCCTCTTGGGGACAAACATCATTCAACAATTTGTGGGCACTGAAAGTCAGTTATCTTTCATGTATCTGTCCATAGATGTCAGAACAGGATGTCAAACACAGCCCCCAAAGATAAGGCTCCAACATCAAACCTCCCGAAAGACGTGCAATAAAAATGAAGAAAAAAAGCAATGGATGAAGGATTTAGTTGAGAGAACATGTATCTTGTTCACTTACATTGGCACTTCAATGAGTAAATTTACTTGAAGGAGCAAAAATTACACTGATTGTATGATGCTACACAAAGCTCAGCTCTTCAGTGAGTCTGTGTTAGTCTGTCTGCCTTCCTCTCTCACACACTCTTTACCTCCCTCAGACACGGGCATTCATGCACAACAATCTACCAGCACCAATCATCTCTGAATGCCACAGAGAGCAGTATTTACAGGCATATACACATAAAGTGCATAATCCTGAGTATAAGCAATTAATCATTTTCAAGATACATCCAACCAATAAGCAAAAATCTTCTCCAGATCAGAAGATATTAAGCCAGATTTTTTCAGGAGCTAAACTGTTTTCTAAGAAAATCCTCTGACAACTGCACAAATTCAAGTTGTTCACAAAGAGCATGAGGTTTATACTCAGGCAGCAACCTACTAAATGATACCAGGAGAACTTAAGAAAAAAATAAAGAATGCAATAGCACATAAAAGAATAAAAGGCTTAGGGATAAATCTATCCAAGGAAGTGAAAATTTTTAACGCTGAAAACCACAAAACATTGTTGAAAGAAATTAAAGACATAAATAAATGAAAGACATCCTGTGTTCACAAACTATAAGACAATATTATTAAGATATCAGAAGTTACCAAAGCAATCTATAATTTCAATTCAATCCCAATGTTACTTTTTGCAGAAGTAGAAAAATTCATCCTAAAATTTACATGGAATCTCCAGGGACCCAAATAGTCAAAACAATCTTGAAAAGGAAGAATAAAGTTGGAGGACTCATACCTCCTGACTTTGAAATTTATAACAAAGCTACAGTAATTAAAATAGTATATAATCAGACATAAGAACAGACTTTTAGACCAAAAGAATATAATAGTGAGTATAAAAATAAACCTTCACATAGTCAATTGACTTTCAACAAGGATATCAAGAGCATTCAATGTGGAAAGGTTATTCTTTTTTTAAAAAAAATTTTTTTTAATGTTTTTATTTTTGAGAGAGAGGCAGACAGACAGAGTGTGAGCCAGAGAGGGGCAGAGAGAGAGGGAGACAGAATCCAAAGCAGACTCCAGGCTCCAAGCTGTCAGCACAGAGCCCGATGCAGGGCTCAAACCCACACTAGATCATGACCTGAGCCGAAGTTGGACGCTCAACCAACTGAGCCACCCAGGCACCCCAAAGGCTATTCTTAACAATTGGTGCTTTATCTACATGTAAAAGAATGAAATTGTACCCTTACCTTATACCATACACAAAAATTAACCTAATAGGGATCACAGACCTAAACATGAAGAGCTAAAACAACAAAACTCTTAGGTAAAAACAAACAGGAGAATCTTTCATGATTTTCCAAATGTTGAAATCTTCCATCTTTCCAAAATGTTTCCATGAATGATTTGGCAACAATTTCATGGATATAACACCAAAAGCACAGGCAACAAAAGAAAGAATGAATAAACCAGACTTTATTAAAATTTAGCACCGTTGTGCATCAAAGAAACTATGAAGAAAGCAAAGAGACAACTGAGAAAATGTTCATAAATATTTGCAAATCATATACATGAAAAAGGATTAATATTCAGAATATATAAAGAATTCCTAAAACAACAACAAAGAAACAAACCAATGGAAAAGTGAGCAAAGAACATGAACACACATTTCTCCAAAGAAGAAAAACACATAGCCAATAAGCACGTGAAAAGATGCTCAACATCATTAGTCATTAGGAAAATGAAGATCAAAACCCATATCACTTCTTACCTACTATAATAGCTGCAGTTAAAAAAAAAAAAAAAAAAGGAAAATAACAGGTGCTGTTGGCAAGGATATACAGAAACTAGAATCCTTAAGCATTGCTTGTAAGAATGTAAAATGGTGCAGCCACTTGAAAACAGGTTGGTGGTTTTTCAAAAGGTAAACATAGAATTACCATATAAACCAGCAAGTCCATTCTTAGGTTCATATCCAAAAGAATGGAAAGCAGAGACTTGAACAGATATTTCAACACTAATGTTCATAGCAGTGTTATTCATAGTAGCCAAAAGGTGAAAATAACCCATTAGAGATGAACAGATAAACAAAATGTGGCATACACATAAAAAGCAATGAAATTTTAATAAAAGCTACAACATGAGGACCTTCAAAATATGCTTATTAGTGAAATAAGTTGACACAGAAGGACTAATTATTAATGATTCCCACTTACATGAGGTACACAGACTAAGCAAATTTCACAAAAAAGTAGAACAGAGACTACCAGGGTCTGCCTGGAAAAGTGGAAGAGAGTTATTATTTTTAATGGGCACGGAGTTTATGTTGGATGATGAAAAAGTTTTAGGTACAGACAGTGGTTACCGTTATAAAACATTCTGAACATATTTAATAATACTGAATTGTACATTTATGAACAGTTGAAATGATAAATATTGTGTTATGTATAATTTATCATAATAAAGAAAACAATAAGGAATTTTCTTGTGCACTACCCTCCATTATGACTCTGTTTTGTTCACTGGTCCAAATAAAGCCCTGGCATTAGAAATATAGTATTAATCTCAAATTTTAAAATGGATCAAAATTAAGGAATGTGCTATGTATAGGCACACCAAGTCTATAAGCTTCAGACTTTATAGCAGAACATTTCATCCAAAATAAATACCAGTCACCTTTAACAAAAATTATTCTAGAATGAAATTATTTGTAGGATATCTGAAGTATACAGCAATAAATCCTATAGTTAGAAAACATCCTCAGGCTGAAACAACTAAGAAACTTCTGATTTATCATTAAATGAAAGATTTCATAAACTTGTCTTCAGGACATTGTCTCAATCATTTTCCCTACAGTAATAAACTTAGTTAACATTCAACAATTGTTATAGGTCTAAAAATATTTTTTCCCATTTCAGATACCTAATAAAAAGGTAAATTCCTGTGATTTCATTTTCTTTTTATATTAAAAATGAATAGTGAAATTCAACATATTTCTGTTTTTAATTAAAGTCTCTTACCCATGCATACAGGTAATAGCTCTTCTGTAGATTCATCTTCTTTTCTTATTACTTTTTTTGTTGACATTTCAACGGTCTTCTTGTATCCTTTTTTGGCCTGATCCACCAGAAGCCGAAATTCATTCTGATGTTTTTTACCTAAAATTCCAAAGATCTTCTTGGTAAAGCAAGGAGTAAGAAAATTTTATGTTTGTTATGCTGACACACGGAGTATCAAGAAGTGTTCAACCAGGGCGCCTGGGTGGCTAAGTCAGTTGAGCGATCAACTTCAGCTCAGGTCTTGATCTCATGGTTTGTGAGTTTGAGCCCCACGTTGGGCTCTGTGCTGATGGCTCAGAGCCTGAAGCCTGCTTCAGATTCTGTGTCTCCCTCTCTCTCTGTCCCTCCCCGACTCATGCTCTGTCTCTCTCTCAGAAATAAACATAAAAAAAAAAAAATTAAAAAAAAAAAAAAAGAAGTGTTCAACCTTGCTCAAGAACAAGATCCTTGAAAAGCACCTGCAATAAACTTAAAAGCTGGCAACCACAAAAATACAAAGGGCTGGGGGTCGTGGAAGCCTCTGCTCTTCTCCCTTCCTCAGATACAAACTTGGAAACAGGATATTCCTAGTTTGCTAGTGTAGGTTTTTCCCAAACCCCATACTCTGTAAGGTTTTTGATGCAGAAGATACCACTTTCTTAAATATATCCAAAAGACACCATTCTAACTCCCAAGAAACAAGAGTACTAACATGAAGAACATTAACTGAATATAAGAGCAGAAGCCTCGAGGAAAGCTGGGTTATAAAAACAAAGGAAATCCATTCTAATTCCCTCTTTCTCCTTTACATTTCTTGCCTGTTTCCCATCAGGATCCCTTAAGTCCACCACCCACCACCAATCACTTTACCTCAGGATATTTTAATTGCACCAATCTTAACAACACCTGCTACTTTGGAAGGCAGCTATGCTCACCAGGATACCACCAAGGCTGCACATAACACCTGCTACTTTCATACCTCTGAAGACAATGTAAGTCTGCTATCTAGGTAGCCATTATTAACGTACATTAATTTACTCAATAAGGAATAGCCAGGCATTGCTAGAGCAGAGGCTGTAGGACATCTATTTGTGATTCTGAACTATAGTTCGAACGGCTGAGGATGCATTTACTTATCTAACACCCTCAAACACATAAGTCATGGCTCAAAATGATGCCATAAATCCCACAAAAATGTATTTTAGAAAAAATCATACTGCAAATAGTTAAAGTTCTGAGACCATTTTCACACAGTAACCAACATTTTCCCTGTGGCACACACTAAGAATAATTGACTGTAGGAAAAAATTTGTGCTTTTCTTGAAAACTATGCATTTTCTAGAGCTATCCTTCCAGGATTCCAAGCATTTGCTGCCTTTGAGCTCTGTAAACTGTAGATAACTCATGGCAATGGAAAATAATTCTTGTCTACAGACATGCAAAATCCTGTCTGGTAAAGGTTCAATTGACTCCTCTCCCCACTGTGGAAGAGGCCAGTTTTGCCTCCATTTGCACACTGAATTCAATATTCCTGATCTATAAATGCGACTGTTCTTTGGACATCAGGGAGAGACCGCTCCTAATCCCAATATATTTATGTGTATGTACATGTAAAACTCCCAGTGAAACTAACATGTTGGGTTGTAAGGTATGTGGTAAATTTTACATTAAGAGACTGGGTAAAACTCCAGCAAAAGAAATAATGGCTGGCCATAAAGATTGCTGGGAAAAGTTAGCTCTTTAGAAATAGGTGAGATCCTATCTAGGAAATAGGTGATTTCTTTCAGGTCCTATTTAACTCTATGCATTTGAGGATAATTATTCTGTACTTCCTTCAGCTCCCCAGAAGCAGTGGGCTAACACCACCACCATCACTATATAGTTTCTGTTAGGCAAGGGTAACACAGCACTGTGGGGTCTATGTAATCTAATCAGACCTGGTCTAGGCTGTTTTCCCAGTAAGGCCATTGAGTATGAATTCTGGGTGTAAGAATTACTTAAGAAACTTGCTCAAGTAATCTCATTAACAGTTAAGGAGGCTTAATGACTTTCTCTTCTGAAGTAATAAAATCCCAGGTTTAAAAAGAGATTTTCTTTGCTTAATCTTATTACCCTACAGCTAGGCTGGAAACCAAACAGTAAATGGCAGCCACTGCTTTGGCTTTGACCCAAGAGGAACAAAAACCCCTGCTCAAAAGATGAACAGTGCCAAGAGATTATGACTAATAAAATTGCTCCCATTCATCTCTTCACCTCATTTTAGGAGCTGTGCCATCTGGCAAGAAGTTCTTTAAAGAGTTTAAAATCTCGGCTCTGCTAATGAGATGCCCTGAATTTACCTCTTAAAAATATTAACTGGTTGACATAATTGTGGGAGCTCATGAATGCACTTTACATTCAACCATTTCATATCCTTCAAGATTTTTAATACTTGAATAATATCACCCTTTCCGACTCTCCAAGTTGAAATATCATAATCTTTTCTAGTGCCATGTCAAGCCATTCATTCATTCCTTCCTTCACCACCCCTTAACTACTTTTCTAGACCAGCTTTTACAGCCAGAGGGTCCCCAGATCTGCCCGTGAACTGAGAGGTACACAAGACCAAACCCAGGCTCTCTCAAGAACTGGACAGACTCACCCCCTACAGCAAACACACTGAAATACTCACTCATCTACTTGAAGTCACAGAACAAGTTTGGAGTCAATGTCTCTCAAAGTAAAATCGAATACATTTTTTTTCACCAACCTCCTAGGACACCCAAGCAGCTAAACCTGGATGGAAAAGAGAGTAACAGTAATGGCTAATGCTCACTAAGGGCTTGTTCATTTAGCCCTGAACTGACCAGTCTCACTTTAAATTCATGATGTAAACCTAAAATGGGCACTCAACACCGCTGTACAACTTTTCTACCTTTCTCTAGCAAACTCTGCTTTACTATTCTCCAAAATGACCACTTCAAGCTTTTGCATACGTGCAACACCCCCCTACTCAGCTGGCCTCACACTACTTTGAGAACACAGAAACATTCTAACAGAAACCTTATCATCTTCCAACTACCATTAATTCATCTGTGCACATACGCTCTATCTTCCTTGAATTTAACGAAAAAGGACTGTCCTTGCAACAATTAAAGGCCAACCTCTAACGTATGCTCTGGATTCCATCACTAAGGCCTTCTCAAAGATATAGCACCTCTAACTATCCTCTCCCTTTCTTACATCATCAATTTCCCCCTCTATGCATCTTTCCCACTGGCATACAAATATGCCTAGGACTGTTCTGCAGAAAGTGAGAATGTGGGTTATGAAAACAACTAGGTAACCAGCATTTTTCCTTAATGAAATAAAGAGTGTAAAGTGCCAGAATGCATTAAAAATGGAAAGAGTAAGCAACCGAGATGTCCTCCAATGGCAGAATGGATGAACTATAGTACATCTAGACAATGGAATATAATTCAGCACTAAAACAAAAAGCACTATCAAGCCATGAAAAGACATGGAGGAACTTTAAATGCACATTGCCAAAAGACGGAAGACAATCTGAAAAGACTACATGCTATAGGATGCCAACTATATGACATTCTGGAAAAGGCAAAACTATGGAGACAAAAAAAAGATCAGTGGTTGCCGGGGGTTTTGTAGCAGGTGGGGTATGAACTGACAAGACACAAAGGACTCCTAGGGCAGCAAAAATACTCTGTAGGCTATCACAGTGATGCATGTCATTACATCGCTGTCCAGATCCATGGAATGCATGGTTCACACCAAGAGTGAACCCTAAAGTAAAGCATGGACTTTGGATGACTATGATGTCAGTGTAGGTTCGTTAATGATAACACCAGAGATGGGGTGTTGATAATGGGAGAGGTCATGCATGCATGGGGGCAGGAGATATATGGGAAGTCTGTCACATTTCCCTGCTGTAAAAACATAAAGTCTTAAAGAGAGAAAGAGAGAGAGAGGGAGGGAGGGAGAGAGATGCAGTACAGGTGGCTTGGATAAGCATAACCAACTGGCTTTGGAACTCAATTATCTCACTACTTATATTCTTTCAAAGTCAATACAATTTTGAGACCAAAATGATGGAAAACAATTTTTTCTAATGTTGGAGACATGTAAGGTTGGTGTGGGGGAATGTGAACATCACTTGAGAACATCTGAATATAACCTTAAATAAGGGTAAATATTGGTTTGTAAAACTTTTACTTCAGTAATGTGTGTGTATATCATTAGTAATGATATAAAATATGATTCTCACTGTGGGTTATAGTCAGAAAAGATTTGAAAGCCACTAGGTTAAGTATTTCCCAACTTGAAAAACAAACAAAACCATCTTTTGACCAAAACCCACCTCCAGCTATGCCCTCATTTTTCTCTCCCTGACAGAGTAAAATCTCCCCCAAGAGCTGTCCACCTTAGTCTCACTTCCTCACCTCCAGTTTCATCTCGTGGACACCCAGAGCGTCTGACACCTCTCCTCTTAAGAAACTGTTCTTGTAGAAATTAGTTTGCTGCCTCTAAGCTGTGAACTGCACCGATGCTTTCCATCTTTTACTCTACCATTCACAGTAGCATCTGACACAATTCATCTTATTTCCTTTCTTGAAACACTTTGCTTTCCTAGATTTTCTGATACCACATTTCCAAGCTTTCCTCCTATCTCATGGCCCCTCCTTCATCAACCCATCATGGACACTCTTAAAACAGCAGAACTCCAAGTGCACTGGCTGACTACTAAAGATCTCTGAGCCTCTTTCAGAGGGAAAATAAGGTAAAACCTATTTTATGTGCCTTCTTTGTTATGTTGACATAGGCACTGAGTGCAATAGAAATGGTGGATAAAACTGCTGGTGTCCTAGCATGAACCAAAGAAGTGACCCCGAACTTAGTAATCACTATATGCTACACGGTCATGCAGACACCAATTTAAAAAAAAAGAAAAAAGAAAAAGTCACTTTAAGAATGTCCTTGACGAACCGGTAAGAAAGGTATGTATTTTATTTTGACCCTGGAGTACATATCTTTTTTAATAACCTCAGTGGTAAAATGAGAACTACAAATACAGCACCTGTGCTCTACACCCAACGTATAATGGAAATACCACAGCCTGCAGAAGCACCTGTGTACTTATTTCAGGTGGGAGCTAAATTAGCTACTTTTTAAACAAACAGCATTTTTACTTGAAAGAACAGTAGACAAACTGTGATTATTTACACTTGGATAATATATTTTCTCAAAAGTGAGTGAGGGAGGTTTTCACTTCAAGAAAAACAAGTGACAGCATCTGCTGACAAAAATAAAAGGATAGCTTTCAAGTGAAAATCAGAACTCTGGATAACTTGTATCCGACATTACGAGCTGACGGTTTCCCAATATTTAACTTTCCTGAGAAGACTGGGGCTGAAATTAAAGAATGCTGTTCTTTTATATTATATAATACAAATGAAAAAATGCAAACATTTGCAACTCGATGAACCAATATTTTCCAAATAACCAACAAATGATGTTACAAAACCATTCACAGGTAGAGGGCCTTTCAAAGCACGTGACAGACCAGTGGATTTTTATGGGGTAGAGTACAAAAACTTCATTAATATGATTTCAAATTCCATTGTAACTAACCGTTCTGAAATAACACTTGCCAACAATACCCATGATTATCTAAAAAAAAAAAAAAAAATCTACTGAAACACTTCTCTCTTTTCAATTGCCTACCTGTGTCAGGGTGGATATTTTTCATATGCTTCAACCAAAGCAACACATAGCAACAGTTTAAATGCAGAAGCTGATATGAAAGTCAAGATGTTCTCTATTAAGCAAGACATCAGAGATTTGCAAAAATAAAAAAGAATGCCCTTTTCTCTCTAAATTTTTAAAATCAGACTTCCTGGGGTGCCTGGGTGGCTCAGTCGGTTGAGCGTCCGACTTCGGCTCAGGTCATGATCTCAGTTTGTGGGCTTGAGCCCCGCATCGGACTCTGTGCTGACAGCTGGGAGCCTGTGGCCTGCTTTGGATTCTGTGTCTCCCTCACTCTCTGCCCCTTCCCGCTCACATTCTGTATCTCTCTCTCAAAAATAAATGTTAAAAAAAATTTTTTTAATTATACTTTCCTAAAGATTAATGACTAATAAGATTAACCTATATTTTCATGTGGTTACTTGACACTTAAATATTTATTTCGCTGAAGAATGTTTCAGTCTTTTACCGTTTAAAAAAAAAAATATATATATATATGGCATATGCCTTATTATTGAAGAGTTCTTTACATAATATAGATACTAGTATTTTGTCAAATATAAATTTTACAGTATTTTCTCACAATCTGTGGCTTGAGTTTTCATTTTCATATTTGCCTTTTAAAGAGTAAACACTAAATTCTACTGAAATATAACTTATATTTCCTTTTAGCTTTTTCTTTCACAATTCATACTATTTGTGAAAGATGATAATGTCAACTGTGACTATAAAGTTTTATTTATTTCATTCAAATCTGTATACTACTCTTATTCCTTCACACTGTTGACGACCTACAGTACAATAAAAAATGTGAGAAAGAACATATCTACCTTGCTCCCAACAGAAGAAAAGTATTTAATATTTCATCATTAAATATGATGTTAGTTGTAGGTTTCTTATAGATATTCTTTACCAGATTGAAGAAATTCTATTTTGGTAAGAGTTTTTATATTAATGGGTGTTCAATTTTGTCAAACACTTATTCTGCATCTATTTTGAGAACCATATAGTGTTTTTTTAGTCACTTAATACAGTGAATTACAATGATTAATTTTCTTTTTTTTTTTTTTTTTTAATTTTTTTTTTCCAACGTTTATTTATTTTTGGGACAGAGAGAGACATAGCATGAACGGGGGAGGGGCAGAGAGAGAGAGGGAGACACAGAATCGGAAACAGGCTCCAGGCTCTGAGCCATCAGCCCAGAGCCCGACGCGGGGCTCGAACTCACGGCCCGCAAGATCGTGACCTGGCTGAAGTCGGACGCTTAACCGACTGCGCCACCCAGGCGCCCCAATGATTAATTTTCTAAAATTAAACCAATCTTGCACTGTTAGGATAAATCCCACTTGGTTATGATGCATTATCTTGTATATGTATTGCCAGATGTAATTTACTAAAATTTTGTTAAGGATTTTTGCATCCATGTTCAATGAGGAATATTGGTCAGAACTTTTTTTTTTATGTTTATTTATTTTTGAGAGAGAAAGAGACAGAGACAGAGCACGAACGGGGAAGGAGCAGAGAGAGAGAAGGAGGCACAGAATCTGAAGCAGGCTCCAGGCTCTGAGCCGTCAGCACAGAGTCCGACAGGGGGCTCGAATTCACGGACCATGAGATCATGACCTGAGCCGAAGTTGGACACTTAACTGACTGAGCCACCAAGGTGCCCCATGAACTTTTATTATACCATCTTTGGTTTTTAGTTTCATGGAAATTTCTGCCTCATAAAATGGGGTAAGAAGTATTCCTTCCATTTCAATTTTCTAGCAGAATATGTCTAAAACTGATTATTATTTCCTTCCTTATATATTTCATAGAATTCACCAGTGACCCCACTTGGACCTGGGATTTCTTCAGGAATTGCAAATTCAATTTGTCTATTATTTCTTCTTAAATAAAGTTTAGTAATTTGTGTCTTTCAAGGGAGTTGTCCATTTCATGTATTTTTTAAAAAATAGATACAGAGATTTATTTTAGGGCTAAATGCATTAACTTAACATGACATGCCTAGTAAAGATACAAATTTCTATTGTATGTAAACTTTTTTTTAGATATTAAATAGGGAGCAATAGTTATATCTTTTCTGGCATAACTGTTAGATATTATCTTTTTAATGGTTTAAATTACTTTCTCTCCAAGCAAATTTGCTGGTTTCCTTATTTTTACAGGCCTTATTTTTAGCAATTCAGTGGTCACTTGATATTCTCTATCCTCTGCCTCAAGAAAAATCACGTTGGCTTCCCAAATATTAAGGAAGCTCCTATCACACTTATCTAACAACAGAAAAACACTGACTTTTGTTGTTCAGTCTAAGGTCCATGAATATTCTAGGCTCCTTTTCCTACTCTGGTAAGGCACAGGCCATCACACCTGTATCTAATGCCTGTGTACTGTGTCTCTCCTCCCAAACAGATCACTCCCGTACCTATACATTCAAAGCTTAAGAAGGAAGGGGAAAAAAGAAAAAGAAAAAGAAAAAATCCTCTTAGCACAACTAAAACACATCATGTGTGGAATATCATTCCATATTTATTAACTACCTTTTGCCAGGTACTTAAATTTAAATTTAAACTAAAAAACAACCAACCAAAAATAACAGCTACCAAACTGACAAAACGTGAATGTGCTAGCCCCGGAAAAGATACATACAAAAGCCTAATAAGGAAAAGGAAGTAAGCTGGAAGTTGGTAACAACTGATAAAGTGAAAACTATTTTTGGCACAAATTTGCAAGTTACAGAAGTGCTGAAATTCTTCACAGAAGTGTTGCAGTGAGTGGCCTGAGGACAGGATGGAAAGTCAGGAATGTTTCCATTTTAACTCCATTTTATTTTCACAAAGATGTTTTGAGAGCAGCTAATTAATATTCACAAAGTACTTAGTGATAAGCTCAAAGAAGAATGTTAGAAATCAAAAAGCAGGCACAAGAAAGGTCACGGAGTAAACAACTAAAATTCAGTTAAGTAATATAGAAGAAAAGTTTACATAAAACATTACTGTAAAAACTTATTTTAAAAAGTTACTTAAAAAAAATTACTTAAGATTAACCTGAAACCCAACTTCTCTATAAATAAAGAAAATGCCACACAACTTACGATATTTACTGTGAATTTCATCTATTTCCTTTTCTGTTTGGTCCTTTGTAAAAACCATTATCTAAAATAATCCAAAAGATCTTAATTAAAAATTCAAAAAGTGACAAAAACTGGAGTACTACAAACTTTAAAATAGGGGAAAATAATCTCTTATCTCTGTTTCATATAAACCTAGGAAGAATAACTCCTGTGTACCTCCTTTGAATATCATAATTAGTATACCTTTACTCATTACTGTTTTCTCATCTGTAGAAAATGCAACACTAATATTCATATTAACACTAACATGAAGAATTAATACAATGATCAATTAAATTTCCCACTTTTGGTATTTAATTTTTCACCTTCATTAATACAACAGTAACACGTGAAACTACAAGACTGAAGAAGTATTTAGCAGATCATTAATAAGGCAGATTTTCTTGTTTGACTTCTCCCTTTTCCAACCTAACCTCTCCAAGTCTACTGGAAAGGTAATAAATAAAGAAAATATAACACTCAATATGTTAAATTTCTACTTCCACTTTTGAAAATCTTAGACTTAAGAGATCAGAAATCTACTTACATGACTCATTACAGTTTCCATCTTACAGTTAGCACATAGGTAATAATAAAATCAATGAAAATCTCATTTTTTTTCTACTATCTGATTATAAACTTACTTCCCTAAGGTCGGTGCTTTCCTTACAAACACATTACCGATGGTCTAGGAAAAAAGTCTACTTGGGAGAGCCCATAACACTTCCTCCAGTGTCATAGGACACAATGACTATTTTCTTCTTTGGTATCCTTTCCTCAAGTTTTGGACCATCAAGCTAGAGGAAGGCACTAGTGAAGAATTTTAGGTGTCTGATTCCCTCAACAAGCTTAATAGATACTCAGTCCTCATTAAGTCTTACAATTACTTAATTTCTCCATCAGCATAATCACAGAAATACAGAATGCCAAGCTGAAGGGGGATATCTTAGAGATCATATAGTTTAACCCCCGAGTTTTACAGACAAAGATCCTAAGGGCCACAGATGTTAAAGAGCTTATCAAATGCAACCAGCAGAGAAAGGACTTATATCAAGGCCACCAGATGTACAGGCATATGCTTTTTCCACAGGACTATAATTCATTAATAAACTCCACTTTGGATTGTACTTAGCCCTAGAAGACTCCTAACTGTGATAGAACTTTGTGCTCAAAATCAGCTGCAAGAAAATCATAATACAATAAATGGAAATGTGTTCCAGGACATTTCCTACTTAACAGATTTAATTTTACTGGGCATTCAATTTTTCTGTCCATCATTTCTACCCAGACAATGAAATAGACCATCAACATACGCTTTCGTTGAGTTTACTAGCTTCAAGACGCATCCTAGTCTTCTCCATGTTTTCAATTTCTTGAACTATTTCAGCAGCTGTTAAAATAAGGACATACAGGCAGTGTTAATTACATGGTTTTGATCATTGTACAACCCTAAAGCTAGATGATGGGAATGTGTGAACTACCTGTTCACACTACCTGTTGTTAATTTTCCTCTAAGTCCAAAGTTATTGCAAAATAAAAGATTAAAAGGAGTAGAACACTGAACTCTTACACATGCAGAACAATTTAAGACATAACTGTAAGAGTACAGTAAAGTCATTTTGCTCTTTCCTTTAAAAATATAGGTATAAATAGCAGTCCCAATGGAATATGAAAATTAATTTGTTAGTAGAATCCAATTCTTAGCAGATATCTATTCAAACTCCAATGTACTAAATATAAATTTACATTTTTAGACTCAGAGCATTAAGAGCCATGGAGCAATATGAAAAGGTCTAACATACATGGAACAGAAATCCCAAAAGAAGAAGAAAGGGAAGAGAAAAATATTTGAAGATCTAATGGCCAGAATTTGCCAAATATAATAAAAGACATCAAACCACAAAGGCAAGAAACTCAAAGAATATTAAGCAGAATGCAAAAACAAAACAAAACAAAAATACAACAACGTATATAACACAGACACACAGAGAAAATCTGCGTGAGCCAGAGAAAAAGAGTATATTACATAAAGAAAAATCAAGCATTATATCATGGCTTCTCATTAGAAACTATTCAAGCCAGGGGCGACTGAGTGGCTCAGTGAGTTAAGCATCCGACTTTGGCTCAGGTCATGATCTCGCGGTTCATGAGTTCGAGCCCTGAGTCAGGCTCTGTGCTGACAGCTCAGAGCCTGGAGCCTGCTTCGGATTCTGTATCTCCTTCTCTCTCTGCCCCTTCCATGCTCATGCTCTGTCTCTCTCTCTCAATAATAAATAAATGTCAAAAAAAATTTTTAAAAAAGAAAGAAAGAAACTATTCAAGCCAGAAGACAATGGAGTGATGAATTAAAAGTATGGGGGAAAAAACCATGCCAATCCAGAATTCTATACCAATGGAAGTATTTTTCAAAAGTGAAAGAGAATAAAGATTTTCTGAGACTAACAAAAACTGAGAGACTATGTTATTAGCAGACTTGTACTATAAAAAGTGTTAAAAGAAGTTCTTCAAGCAGAAGAAATATGAAACTAGAAACTTCTCTCTTCCTAGAAGAGAAAATGAAGAGTGATAGAAATGGTTAAAATGAAGGTAAATACAAATATTTTTCTTATTTTTAACTATTGTAAAAGGTAACTGACCATTCAAAACAACAACATATTGTGTTAATACCATAGGTAAAAGTACAAAACTCATGAGAACAACAACACAAAGAATTAGGGATTTAAGGTATACTGTTGTAAGGTTCTTACACTGTAAGTGAAGCAGTACATCATTTGAAAGTAGACTGTAACTAACAGGTGCTTATTACAAATCCTACGTCAACCACTAAAACTTTTGGGAAAAAAAGGTAAAATAAGCCCAAAGTAGAAATAAAATGTATTAATAAAAAATACTCAACCCAAAAGAGAGCAAATAAGTGGAATAAAAAGCAGAAGGAAAAAGCAGAAAATAATGCCAACTGTATCAATAAGTACATTAAGTGTAAGTGATTTAAAAGCATCAATAAGAGATACAGAATGTAGACTCGATTAAAACAAGCAAGACCAAACTATATGCTTTCAGCAAAGAACCCATTTTATTTATTGTGAGAGAGAGAGAACACAGGCATGCATGCAAGCGGATAAGGGGCAGATAAAGAGGGACAGACAGAACCCTGCACTGCCAGTGAGGAGCCCGGTGCTGGAGCTCGAACCCACAGACCATGAAATTATGACCTGAGATGAAATCAACAGTCAGACATTTAACCAGCTGAGCCACCCAGATGCCCCAGAATGCATTTTAAATAAAAGACATAGATAGGTCCAAGATAAAGGAATGGAAAGAGATGTATCATGTAAATACTAAAGGGAAGAAACTTGCAATAGCTATATTAAAAAGGCACAACAGACTTCAGAATAATGAATGTTATCAGGGATAAAGAGGGAAATTGTATAATGATAAAAGACTCAATTCAATAAGAAAACCTAACAATCTTAAATGTGTCTGCACCTAGAACAGAAATTAAAAATACATGAATGAGAACTTGCAGTTCCAAAGAAGATGGACTAGACTCATTTCTCTTCTGATTTCTCATACTCTCCCTCAGTAATTATCACTAAAACCCTTGAATGCAAGGTAACAAGTATAAGAGAACTCTGAAGGGTAGAAGGAGAAAGATGGACTGGCTAAGGGCTTCAGAAGTTAAGCGACAACATGATGGTGAGTTCTTTGGGCTTCCTTTTTATCTTCTGTAAATCCCAGACTGGACTCTGGTGACTCTGGTGAAGCCTGCAACCCAGAACACACACACACACACACACACACACACACACACACACACACACACCCACCCACCCACCCACCCACCCAAGAAACCATTTTTCTAGCAAAGGACTATGAAAGGAGGAGACCAAAAAACTTTATGACAATATCTGACCTACTCCAGCTAAACACTGCTGATGCTTCCTGCCCACTACAGTACAATCAGAGAGTTAAGTGTGGAGTATGGATTCCACCCCCCTTCTCCCCCAGCAGTAACAGGAGCACTGGGAAAGGCTTTCCTCTCCCAGCAACACAGGGCCAGTGCAGACCAAATGAGAAACCTAGACCTCAGCCAGCAGTAGCAGATAGGACCCTTACCCTCTAACTAGTGATTGGAGCAAGGATCTCAAAGAGACAAAACCTGGAGAACAGTATCCTTTAAACCTGCACAGGAAATCCTAAATACTTTCTTGGCCAACTCACATGTGAAATATTCTAAAAATTAATTTTAGAGGCCAAAAGGTTTGGGAAGTAGAGCACAGTATGAAACACCAGATTCTCAGAGGGCCCTTTAGGTAGTAATTAAAGGAAGCAGACCAGGACAACGCTGCAAGGGCTCTGAAAACTACACTGTCATTAGAACCATGGTCCACAGAAGTAGGTCCGGATCTGCATGTTAAACGTAAACAGGGTGAGTGCCTGTTAAAGGAGAATATTTTTAAAAGAACTAGAATCTCCTATTACAGTCAAAATGTCTAGGACACAATAAAAACACTTGTCAACTAAGCAGCAGGAAAATCATAACTTCAATGAGAAAAGACACTCAACAGATACTAACACTGAGATGACTCCAATCGTGAAACTATCTGGTAAGAATTTCAAAGGTACCATCATACAAATGCTTCAACAAGTAATCAGGAGCTCTCTTGAAACAAAAGAAAACAAACCTGCTACTGTATGTAATATTTTTATGACAGCCAGTGGTCCATTATAAAAATTTATCTTCTTAGTTTAAATGTTACATTTAAGTTATTAATTTCTTATACTTTCAAGGGACAACTAAAAAACAACAATTAGAAACAAAGGAAAACAAATGAACCCTACTGTATTTCAGTAAAACACCAAGCCACACACTGAAGAAAGATAAAAAGGAAATTATGAACACAATATCTGACTACATACCCTCAGTCTGGGAAATGGAGGCGGGGAAAGCAACTGTGGGGAGAGAGAACTAAAAAATATTCTGAATTCTTTCTTATAGGTAGGTCTGTTTTGCAGTGGTGTAGTAGTACAGATGAAGCAATTCTGAAACTATTTTAGATGTACTACAGAATTGGGACAAATTACTAAATGTGCTGATGCTATTGAAGGGAGGATTCTTCTTGTGGAAAAAAATGGGAAGTATAAATATGGACAGAGAAAGGTATAGAACTCTGTGGGGTTGGACTGCAATCAGTATGCTCTCATGATTTCTAATGTATATAAGTATAAATAGATTTACATTTATATATACACATACAGTATACAGGCACATAAGCATGTCATGTATATGTACATACCCATGTATGCACATCTATATGCATGCATATATTCCTGAGCTCAATCTGCTACAAGAACCTAGAAGCAAAGGCACCAGTAGCAACGTGGAAGGAATGACGTTAGAAAATCATCATTTTGCAACTATCACAGAAGAGATTAGTTCATATAAAAATTACCTAAGAATAGTAATGTAGGGGTGAAATTTTAATGAGGTATAGGATATTTACATGGTGTTAAAGTGTCTCTACAGATATCCAATTAGTAGCAAGGGGAAAACTATATAATCTCCCAGTATCGAGGGAGAAACTGAGAAGATGATTAAACCAGCCATCACAAATGAGAGGCACAAAGATGTCAAACACCCTGGATGTGATATCCTGACAAGGGACAAAAAACATCACATATAGAGTACTCTGGCCAGGAATGCACAGCCTTGATGTAATTATAAGGATACATCACACAAAGCCAAAGTGAGAAATACTCTGTTTTGGGGGGGGGGGGG